TTTCTCAATTACAATGTAGTTTGGATTAAAGCCAGGGTCAAGCGTTTGATGCGACTGTCGCAACAGGGGGTCGTAAAGTAGGCAACTAAGGTGGGGAGGAGTCGTAAGAGGAAGTAGTTTGGCTGAAAACCGTAAGCTCAAAAGGAATTCAAAAAGCAGATAACCAATACATGTTCTTCACAATAAATTTCAAAAAGTAGAAATAAAGATAGTAAGGATAAAATTTTTTTAGAAATTCTCAAAAAAAAACATTCCCAAGAGCTTAAAACACTTTTGAAGGATGCAAAATTGATAATTCGAAATGTGTTAACTGGTTTACAAATCTTGCTTCCGAAGCCTCCCTGAAGTCTCACACACTCGACAAAAACGAATATTTTTACCGACGATAATCATCAATAATTTTTAAATCTTTTTGTAATGCTTTTCACGGGCCCGTAAAATTTATCTGTGCTTTAGAGATGCTCTACTACATTTGTACAAAAACTGGTCCTATTTCGTAATCTGTGGATTTTTTTAACGAATTTTGTAAGCCGACAAGAACTGAAGCAACGGGGGGGGGTCGTATATGGGTCGCATCTAAATTTGTCGGGAGCTATTGAAGCTTGTTGTCTGCAATCGTGCTGTAATACGAGGCCATTCTCCTATTTTCTATCATAATAATTTTAGGCTGTTTTTGTAACTTCTCCGATGAGTTAGAAAATTTCAAGCCCAAAGATCCCACTTTTTGCTTTTTAGGATTGCATCTAAATTTGCGAGAGTCGCACCTATTAGGTTGGCTCGAAAGTTCTGGGATATTTTTAGACGAGATCTGCTTTTACTCGAAACTTAATGCATGTCATCTCACAGAGGTACCATTCGATAGAACAAAGCAAGCTCTACAAGAAGGTATGCAAAAGTTCGCACCAGCTTCGACCCAGCGTAAATTTGCATCCAGAATCTGAGTAGTATTGAAGGCACTGAAAGCTCGAGAAACTGGAAAAAATTCTTATCTTTGTTCAAATAAATCCTATGGATCTCCAAACCACTCAATCAAATGCATACCACATCAGATACTCAAACGTACCCGTTGTTATATTTTTTCCGCGTCTAAAAATCGAAAAAACGAAGCTTTCATGTTTAAACAAAAACGAAGCTACGCTGTTCCCACTTATGCAATTCTATAGTACAGGCCCTTATAAGTATAACCGTAAATTTTCAGCGTTCTAGGGCCCTAGTTTTCGAAAAATATTGATTTCAGCATGGAACACCAGAGTGGGTAGGGTTCAATTCGGTCATTTTCAGAAACTAGGTCTGTCCAAGGAAAAAATACAGCAATGATGCATACAAGTTTCTGATGTGGTGTGTAACCTGCATGAGCAATTTGGAGATCCGTTGGATTTAATTGAACGAAGATATGAATTTTTTCCACTTCAGTACTATTCAGATTCTGGATGCAAACTTACGCTGGGTCGAAGCTGGTGCAAATTTTTGCATACCTTCTTATAGAGCTTGCTCTGCTCTATGAAATGGTACCTCTGCCGGATGTATATGCATTAAGTTTCGAGAAATACAGATCTCTTCTAAAAATGTCCCAGAACTTTCCAGAAACTAATATTAGGTTGGTGCAAAAGTTTTGTCAGTGTTTTCAATCCATCGGCAAACACGCTAGAATGAAGATAAACAAACATATCAAAATGTATCCGATGCAGGATTTCTTCCTCTTTCCAGCTGCAAAACTCCCATTGTGTTTCGTTGCAAGAGTGACGAGATATTTGCTGGAAATTGCAACCACTCGTCTTTACCATGCCCAAATTTCGCTAATTTTTCAAAATTTTTGTATGAGACTTTCGCAGGAGTTCTAATAACTATCAGATAGGGCAAACCTTTTGCCAACTAGTTCAATTTTTTGTAGCCCTACGGCTTGTCTTTCAGAATTTCTACGATTTATTTTTTAAAGTGGCCAAATTATACATTCAGCCTATTTTAATTTCGTAGAACATAAAAGGTTAAACGCTTCAGTCACCATTCGATGCAACTTTTTCTCCTTTTTTTATACTTGTCTTTTTTCGCCGAGACAGGCAAAATTTATGGAAAAAATCGCAGTATTTCTCAATTTCAGGAGTGCGCACTGAAGTAACCTATGTTTTAAAATTTTCATAATTTGAAACAAAAATCGCTCATTTACTTTGTAATGGTCGCGGTAGTAATAATCGAGTATTGAAACCTCAGTATTCTGTAGGTTTTGCAGTGTTTGGTGCAATACAGGTTATGCGATTTTTCTTAAACACAACACTTTCGGCAAATTATTTAACGAAAATTGAAAAAGCGGCTGAAAAAAAGAAAAAAAGCTTAAGTTGGCAAAAGGCTTGCCCTACCTGGTGGTTATAAGAACCCTACCGAAAGTCTCATGCAAAAATTTTGAAAATTAGGAAAGTTGGACATGGTAAAAACGAATGGTTGTAATGTCCGGCAAATATCTCGTCATTTTCTCAATGAAACACAACGAGATTTAGCAGCTGGAAAGAGGAAGAAATTCTGCATCGGATACTTCTTGAAATATTTGTTTATCTCCATTCTAGCGCGTTTGCCGATGGATTGAAAAAACCGACAAAATTTTTGCACCAATTTAATAGATTTTTTTCGAGCTCACTGCTTTCAATGGCCGAAACTTTTCTCGTGGATAGTGTGGGCACAATACTACACAGCCAATTCATTAGGGCCTCTCAGTCTTTCCCTGACCTTAGTTATGGATTTTCAAATTCCGTGCTAATGCACGTTTTTGACATCGTTCTGGAAGGCGCTAAACGGTGTTTTTTTTCGCAGGAAAATCTATACAGTTTGTAGAAAGTAGGTTTTTAAGATATCGTTTTTCTCTCTGCAAAAAATATTGTCGCGTACGGGGATAGAAAACGGGACTGTCATTAAGAAAAACGTTTCAAATTCCAGAACCATAGTCTATATCTGTCGGTACTACCACTAGACCATGAAATAGTTACGTTGTTCTGCTTTATCAAATGATATCCTTTCCACTCATATTTTCCCAAACACAATAAGCGTAGCCAATTTCTATAATACTACTTACCCAATATACCCAATATACGCAGAATTATTTGTGAGGTTTTTGAATGGTGAAGCATTACTTGTATTACCCCCAATTTGTAAGTAGCTATTTTTCTCTGACGTATAATTTGAGGTTCATTGGCAGGCATCTTTTGAGATTGACATTCGTTTATGCAGGTTACCGCAAAAGGAAGTGGAGGAGGGGTGGGGGGGGGGTCGTAAATGAGGGTCCCGGATCGCATCAGCACGCGTGACTCTGGTTAAAGCGCTAGTTATTAGCACCATATATTAGCTTCTTGACCCGGCTACAAGTCGTTTACAAAAAGAAAGAAGCTCCCCCCCCCCCACACTGCTGAAGCCCCGCACTACGACAAGCCAGCTTCGACCTACTTTTCCGCTACCAGTTTGCGTGAATATCAACATTCTCCCTCTCATAATTCAGGCAAGAATTGTGTTCTGTAATAATACATGAGCTGCTAATGGATCTATAACGTCAATGGCCAAACTTGTCCTTGCAGACTGAAGTCGCTATATGAGTCGCTATATTACGACAGGAGTAAATTTTTCAAAAAACGTAGTGAAGTTTCTAGGAGTTAAATGGGACTTCCGTTGGAAGGAAAAGAAGAGAACTTTCGTCAGGCTTTGCAGTAGAGTGTATCGTCCCTTCCACAAATGTATTCCTGCCCTGCGTCTATGAACTGCGCCATATCGTTGGCATATCAGCGATATGCAGCGATGTGTCGGCAGCGTGCTGCCAAAACGTTCCCGCTGTTAACTTCAACACCAATATGTTGTTGCAAGTTGGCAAGCGTCGGTGCGCGGCTAACATGGCAGCCCCACGTGCCGTAGGTCATAGACTGCAGAGCAGGGGTAGCAGCAACCAGGGTCAAGCAAGGGGTGTGGCACACAATCGCTGGTTACGACCCCCCCCCTAATTGCTGTCTTAATAAGACCCCCCTTCCCTGAACTATACACTTAAGATAGCATTACTTGAAGGCCCTGTCAAACATAATGGGCAACATATCCATAATTAGCATGTCAAATAACCCCTGTAGACAAAGTGTGAGCGAAGTCTGAAGATTCAAGATACTAGGCTACCTAAGTGAAATGGTCAAATTCCAACATGGTTAACTTTGTTTCAAAGGTGAACTAGCTATCCATTTTTGCACTCAAGACAAAGCACTACTCCTTCTTTGTCTACCTCAGGAATCACGCTTCAGAAGACCTCCAAACTGTGGAATTAGAAGCCAACCAAAATCTCGTTTTTCCCATTTTTCGCTTTTGATCGCTGTGCGGCGGCCGCAGCTTTTAAGGGGGTGTGCCGCACCCCATTAACTATATCAAAAAAGCATCTTTAGGAAATCTTTTTACATGAATCGATAGCCTAAACCCTGTAGATTCCATAGGACTGCTTGGAGCCTGATTCGTCTTCTTAGCTCTGAGTAATATTTGGTGAAAGCACAGCGATCAAAAGCGAAAAATGGGAAAAACGAGATTTTGGTTGGCTTCTAATTCCACAGTTTGGAGGTCTTCTGAAGCGTGATTCCTGAGGTAGACAAAGAAGGAGTAGTGCTTTGTCTTGAGTGCAAAAATGGATAGCTAGTTCACCTTTGAAACAAAGTTAACCATGTTGGAATTTGACCATTTCACTTAGGTAGCCTAGTATCTTGAATCTTCAGACTTCGCTCACACTTTGTCTACAGGGGTTATTTGACATGCTAATTATGGATAGGATACGAATATCATGTTATCACTATTATCAGATTACCCAACTGCGACCCCCTCCCCTTTTGACTCCTCAATACAACCCCCCAGGTGTGGCGTGCCGCACCCCACGCTTGACGCTGGCAGCAACCTTGGAGGGGACGATATGTGCGAAGGTTTAGCTCAACCAATCGATACCAAATGCTATAGGTAAATATTTACGCAAACATCTCAAACCTCGTTTTCAAAAATTTTTTACTCTTTATGCGAATATATATCACAAATCGCGGAAGGTTATGTTCAAATTTATGGTATATAACAAGTAATATTTCTTCCAATATGTACGGAAGTTGATGCATGTGCACAAGAAGTTGTTGACAGTGCACATGCGAAGCTCACGACAAACCCGTTGATTTACACAGCAATTTCATAGATGGCACAAAGACATCACAGGCACTAAGGCACTATATCTTGTCAAAAGCACTGGTCTTTGTCGTAGAACTCCCTGATATCGCTCACTATCAGCTTTTTTCTACTGTAGATATCTTCGCAAAGGGTGCAGAGAGCATGCCCAACGTAGGCGTCTGGCTTTCGAAAGTGCTTTGTCCATTCAAAATACCTTAATAGATTTTAAAGGAGTGAATCTCTTTTTCCACAAGGCTATCGAAACACCACACTTGAAATATGAGTTCTATAACTCCCTCTTCAATGTCTTGCAGACACAGAACACCTGTGGCCGTGTTCACCAAAGAACCCAAGGGTAAACCTTAACCACAAGGGTAAGTTTTATCCTCAGGGTTCATTGGCCATATTCATAAACGAACCCTTGAGGGTAGGGTCCACCTCGGAAAGCGATTAATCCTTATCGATTAACGAACACTGATGCTAAATCTTATCATTGAGGGTAAACCTTATCCCAGAAAGCGATCAACCCGTATTCACGGATGTGGCTCATCAGGGTAAGTTATCAATCTAAATCTTATCATTGAGGGTAAGTTAAACCTTAGCACAGAGCAAGATTAGATTCACTCTGATACTTCGTACAAACATCAAATGGTTTCTCCATACACTACTCTATCCTAGCTAATGATTTGACAATCTAATCTTATCTTATCTTTTATTCATTCTCAACGGTTAAACAACATTATGTTGTTGTTTAATTGTTTGGTTTGTTTTACACTGTTCATGCAGAAGACCGTGGTGATATTATGTAAGGCTTCATTATGTCAGTAGTGGGACCGCATATGTAATACCAAGTGTTCTCCATACAGCACATTCCATTCTTAGCTCCTGCTAATTACATTTAGGTTTATATATCTTGGAATGCTTACGGATGTCGTCTTCCCATCGCGTTCTAGGTTTTCCATCACCGAGACGTCGGCCAGTAGGTGGAATCCAACGTGTAAGCATGTCGTCCATCTTTCATCGCCTTCTTTTCCAAGTATTCTTCCAGCAAATCGCCATTTTCTTCGACGAGCTATTGCGACTACATCATATGTCTGCAGTACGCGATCGAATCTATACAGTGGGAAGAAAGAGAAGGATATGACAGTTTCAGTTTTGTCTTTCAGTTTTGTGATAGAACGTATCCATTTTGAAGATTTTTGGTTTTTTAAGCGAAATCCTAACATCGATCGTTCCATCGCTTTTGGCATCGAAGAAGTTTCAACAGCGAGTTCTTAGTCACCGCCCAAGTTTCACAACCGTATAGCGTTGAGAGTATCACGTTATTAAAGTAACGGCGTTTGCGGTGAACAGCAACATTTTGACTGCCGAGAAACTGTCGTACTTTCCCGAATGCATTCCACGCTGCACTTAGGCGCCTGGAAATTTCTTTATCATGACTGCGTGGACATTGAATTAGAATACGAATTATAATGTCCAAGATAAACGAAGCAATCTACACGTTTAATGACATTGAAGTTCAGTGTGATTACCGAGCTCGTCCAAGTGTTGTCTATGTCTTCGCCCATCCACTTGGTTTTGTGGCCATTAATTCGAAGTCCTATTCGAAAACATGCATGAAGAAGCTTTACAGCCATTGATTCCAAATACTTGGACTGAGACCTATGAGTACAATGTCATCCGCATAAGCAAGGTAACGTAAATGTTATCCGCCAATGTCATATCCTTCTCTTCCTTCCCACTGTATAGATTCGATCGCGTACTGCAGACATATGATAAAAATAAGCGGAACAATGCATCGCCTTGACGGATTCCTCTATGTATTTTGAAAGACGAATTGATATTGTTAAGTTGAAGTGAGGCTGTTGCGGTTTGATATAATAGTTGTATAATCAAAATCGTGTCATTAACTACTCTGATTTGACAATAGACACTTTTTATGGTTACTACTATCTCAAAGTTTCTATAGCCTCTTTTCTTGTTTTCGTTCGATGTAATCATCCGGTATGATATTCGGACGAGTTCTTATAGTACCGTCACAATTAGAGGAAGCATCTCTTAAAACTAAATTCGGCCAACCTGAACACACCAAAAAATTCCGCGACCGAAGGACCCTATACAGTGCTACGTTTCGCCTGAGGGTATCGTGCGGCATAAGTTTTGTTTCCCAAAACACACCGAGGCGGCTGAGCGGCTTGCTAAGAAAAAACGAAAGAGGTGCGTCTTGTACTCGTGAAATAAAGGTGGAAGATTTAGATTTGGATAACGTACATGTCCAGCTAAGGACCTTAATATGGCATCAAACTCAACAACTCGAAAAATTTTCGCAGTATAAAACTCTCTACGAGCAAGCATGAATGAAGCCCTTAACGCTTTCCGAGCAGCAGTTGTTCTTCGACGGGCAAAATGCGGAACTGGACTTCAAAATCATCTTCTATGTGGTTTTCCTATGCTTTTCAAGAGCGCTTACAAGACTACTTTGTCTTCTCTTACTAGCCAGATGTTCACTGACACGTTCATGAAATGGTCGGCCAGTTTTGCCTATGTAAATGATGGCATATCTTACACTCTAACTGGTAAATCACTCCGCACTTCGAAAGCATCCTAATTTTTTCTTTGAGCAAACAACGCATTCTGCAATTCTGCGCATTTCATACAATCTATTGCGGACCAGTTTTTTTTTTATGCTGTTCGGGGTATGCTCCTTAGAACAACATTATCCGCCAATTGCGCCTGTATCAGACATTGTTTGGAAGCGTTGCTTAGTCTACCGGACACGAACGGTAAGCATATTGATATATTAGGTTGTAACAGAATTAATGCAGGTTTTCCAAATTTTTAAGTTTGGACTATTATAACTTCTTACAAAAATAGTCGATCTGTTTCCAATAAAAATTACTGCAATCAGCAAACCTTTGCCAATTCAACACGCATTACCTTATCGTTGTGGCTTTACTGAGAAAAATTTCGCAGCCAGAAGATTGCCAAAAGTTTTCTTGAAAAATCTTCAGTTTGAGAGACCATATCTCACTATACAATGTAGTAGAATGGTCAAACTTCACTCACTGTGCAGATAATAGTTGAATGTGCAGCAGCGTAAACGTTGATTTTTAGGAAAAAAAATTTTGCTAGAAAATATTGCAAAAAATTTGAATTACTCGTTCTTCACAAGTGCTCTCAAAAGACGAAAAGATGCTTTTTTTGTTTTTTTTTTCAAATTTTCTCGCCGCCGAAGAGAACAACAGCTCCCGATTTTTTGCTATCATGTTCAGTGTCTATTGTTTTTGCGCACGTGAAACCCCGCAATTGCGTCGCATTCAAGATTTTTATACGTCGCAGAATGATAGCAGCGGTTGTTTGGATTTGAAGAAAAATTTCTCAGTTTGGAAACTTTGAGAGATTTGCTTTCAAGGCGCTTTTGTAGCACAGATCACATACAAACATTACGCCAGTTCGCGGAAAAATTCGATTTTTCGCGGTGGATTTAGAGCAAAGAGTGTAAAAGGTAAAAATTTCAAGATTTTCTCTTGATTACAAAAGCACGTAATTTCGAAATGAACCCAGTTCTCCTGAAACGAAAGCATGCTCAAGAAAGTAGAAGAAGAGTGCTTTCAGAAGGTATGCATACTTTCTTAAGACAATGGAATTTTGTTTTGAACCAACGCTTAAAAAAAGGTGTCAAAAACCTGCATTGATTCTGTTACAACCTAATACGTGATCGAATCTGACTGCTACTGTTTGCGCTTGTTCGCTTGCAAGATCCGTACTGCAGTTGGAAACCATTCTTGGCAACTATCTCGTGTGCCAATTTCGTAGACTCCAGTTTTTCAACTTTACCCCTGCAAACACTGCTCCTGTTCTAAACTTGCAAACAATCGCTCGTTTTTCAACAGATGGATGCGCAAATGTGGCATGCAGAATGATATGGTACTATCAGAACTCTTCTTCTCAATACCTTTTGACGTGTGCTGCTTGTGCTGCTCCGTTTTCCAGCATCACTCGTGTATTCAGATATGGTAGCCGCCATCGTGTGGTTTTCGTCTAGTCAAGCTGATGTTCTGCGATTTTTTATTGAGAAGTCTGAAGCACTTCCATTTCGGATTGAGTTGCAGAGCCATGTAACAATCATCGATATAACGGCAGTGCATCAGGGGACCTTGCGACAATACCGGCTCCTCTATTTGCTCATGAAGCAAATAGCGAGCGCTGGCGTTTCTTTGTCCCATCGTTAGTCCTCTTAGTTGTGCATAATATTGTCCCAACCATTAAAGGCGTTGATTGCCGGGCATTCCTTGGACAAGGAGATGATGCGTGCATTACTGAGCCCTTATGTTTCCATATTATAAATATGTGAATCAGGAAGTTCAGAGAGAGAGCTTGTAAGGTATAATGACGTAACATCAAATGACTTCATCACGCAATTTTGATCAAAGTGCGTTTTGCCTAAATGATCAAAAAAGCGGAAGAGCTGACTAACGATCGCATGATCGCTAAGGAACCACGGATTTTATCAGTTGGCCCACCTATACAACTGATTATTGGCCGAATTTTACAAGACGCAGATCCCATCTCCTGGATTAGTCAAGGCGAGTTTGTATGTTTTTACGAGGCCGTAAAAGACAGGACAAGCCGGTTTTCAACTTTAAGCCTACTAACAAGGGAATGGTCAGAAGTCGAAGTGGCCAGACCAAACAAGCTGTATACCATTCGATGCAGCATAAAACGCTGACTTCAAATCTGTCTTTCTTATCTGCTTCCCGCTTCTGTGGACGAAGCTACAAGCGGTTTTATTGTGAAAAAACCACACATAAAAACAGCGAAATTGAGCACACTGTTGCACTTTTAGCTCAGCTTCTTTCTTTAAAAATTTGAAGTAAGCTAGCTGCATGTTTTGGCCCAGCATTAAGGCGAACGTGGCTCTGCACGGCTAAATTTTCAATTTCACGCGTAATTTCTTAGCAAAATAATGGTCTTTAGTGGCTTGTAGCTTCGTTCACAGAAGCGGGAAGCAGATAAGAAAGACAGATTCGAAGTCAACGTTTTATATTGCATCGAACGGTATACAGCTTGTTTGGTTTGGCCACTTTGACTTCTGACCATTCCCTTGTAAGAAATTTTCATCTAGTCCCGCTTGCTTTCCGCTCATCATTCAGATGTGATTAAGTCGCTTGCTTTGAAAAAGAAATTCTTTTCCGGTTGAGCGACGATAAACTGAATAAAAATGATTAAAAATAATAATTGAAGGATATCCTAGTTTGTGTATCGTCGCCTTCCTGTCTACTTGGGCGGAGGATTTGCAGACATCTGAACATGTTGATGAACTTATTGACACTCTAATGTGAAGCATTGTTTTTTGTAATCTTTCGTTATCAAAAACTGCCACGTGTGACAACAGCATATACGTGACAGTTCAGAGAGTACAAAGAGCCACGCGCTGCAGTAGTGGTTTGACAGTTCGCCAACATGTTCAAATGTCTGCAAATACTTCGCACAAAATACACTGAGGAGACGACCATAATCTGATTAGACGAGACAAAAGAAGGACTTAGGAATCTGAGATAATAATGATTAGTAAAATGTGTTTGCTGTCGAAACGGTATCGTTGAGACTGAGTAGTGCCTTGAAAGATTAGTTTATGTTCGTACGAAGTGTTATTTGAATTTGATCTTGCTCCATGTTAGGGTTAAATTTACCCTGATGAGCCACGTCCTCAAAGGTATAGGCTGTCGGCGCAGGCCGCGGAGAAGGCGCAATGTGTGTAGTGCGCGTCACTCCTCTTTGCTCGTGCGCTCTCGCCCGTGTTTTCTCTGCGCCTCCTCTAGTAATAAACTGCCTTCAATGGACGCACCGTTGTGCCGCACCTTCACCGACGCAGCGTTGTTCTCGGAGCGCAGCGCGACGGCCCATATGATTACTTTCAGATTTTCTGACGAATACGGGTAAATCGCTTTTCGGGATGAGATTTACCCTTAAAAGCACTGTCTACCCAAAATGTGATGAGATTTTGATGCCTAACAGTAGTGGTGCTCCCAACGGTATACTTATCCAACTCGCGCGGGCAAAAGTTGCTTCCGAAGCGAGAAATTTGCTTCGAAAATCGCTCGAATGACAGATTCGCCACGTTGGCTCCTCCCCCTTGAATGGGCGTGACGTTCGTCCCGCCCATCTGTGCGCGCTCAACCAATCACCGTTCAAAAAAATCCTCTGCGAGTTCTGAAAACGGGGTTTTTCGTGGTTTTCGCTGCTTTCCGACTTGATATTTGGAATGAGGGGTATGGCGCTATCGAAGCTTTTGACAGAGATTTCGATAGTCGGTGCATTTACCCGGCTGAGAATTAGGTCAGCTAACCCCGCCGTGCAAAATGCACGTGTATTGATGAAAACAGCGCCAGTACAGCTTGGCGCTAGCTCGGCACTGGCTCGGCGTCGGCGCAGCGCTGGCGTGGCTTCGGCACTTTGGTAGGAGCCTCAGTGTTCGTTGGTGGACACTGCCAGTGGTCATTCAAGGCATCGAACTAGCAAACCAACCTAAGATATGCAGTGTCGTTTCTTAGCAAAAAATTCAGATGATTTCCCAACTCCGTAATGTCCTCAAAGTCATCCACCGCTATGTAAGAGTGCTCCGGAATTCCTGCCGCTGAAATCTCAAGCTTGTAGCAACTGCAGCGAGACTGTTTTTAAGTAGTTTTACCTTCGTATATCCGTCTTTTCAACACAATAGGCACTAGCAGCTGTGAAATCCGACTGTAAAACTTCTCCGTGATGTAATCATTGCAATCACTGTTCTCGAACGCGATGTAGAAGCGATGTGTGTCTGCAAGTTACATCGTGATTCGGGATGTGTTCTATACTCCTATATCGCAGACTCTGTTGAGATAGGTTCAAAATAGACTTATTAATTCATCGTCGCTACAGTCCGTTTTGCAGTAAATGCTTTTAGTGTTTGTGTTGATGGACAGTGCGTCTTCGCATTTTCCTCTCACAGTGACGTCTGTGACCTTTCCAAGTTCTCTAAAAACATCACATTCTACAATATAAGTGACATAAATATTGGAGAGGTACATGATCAATTTCTCGCGTTTGGAAGGTGAGTGACAATTTGAGATAAATATCAGCGATCCTTTCTTCTTGTGTATGATGGCGTCGGAGACCTGTATGCTGTAATATGTATTCATAATCACATTATGTTTTTGAGCCATTAGGCATAGTTATAAGCAAGGGCAACCAGGCGAAGGCATACAATTCCCAGAAAAAGGCACCCTTGCGCATCATTGATTTCTTGGAATTGTACTCTCCATTATCTATAATGCATAGACAATCGGTACAGCAGCAATGTTGTAGTGTTTAGGTTCTGAAATTTCTACCAAACCACAATTTCTCGAAGAGAGGAAGGTCTGGGGCAAGCGGGCAAGCGTTCCACCGCTGCAAGAACAATCCTGAGTTAACAACCCAAATCAACAGAGCCGTTTGTTGTACTGATGGCGTGAAGTCACTCACAAGGCTAGAAGAAGTCTGAACGTGCCGACTTTTTGTGACCATTATTGACCTCGGAAGCATTGCCTACAATTTTTTTTAGGGCATATTTGCAATCAGCGTCACATCCCTCGAAAATTCAACTGTGGTTGCTTTAAAGCCTACCTTGCGCTCATTGAGCCTTAACATGGAGCGAACGCAATAAAAATGAAGCGTTGATAGGAATGGTTGATTTTTTGACAGCAATCAAAGCGTAATGCTATTTTTGGAGAACGTGAGTATCTTGTTTTCGAAAAAAAGGTGGTTTGATTTTTGAAACAAAACCGTTTATACTTGCAGTTAACGCTTGTGACTGGAAGACAAGCGATTCTACTACGAAATGGCTCAGAGCGGGAATTTTGGGAGCAATGCAGGGTTAACCTTCTTGTTTGGTCATATCGTAAACATTATTCCCTTCCCATATTTCTAGTCAAATGCGACTCTCAAAGCTGGACGTTTCCAGCCTCAGTTAACTTATTGTTGGTCTTCTCGGGAAGAGGAGAGTTGTGGCAGAGTTCAGGATACTGAAGCATTAAATCTGCGCGAACCATATGACTAGCTAACAACCCGGCTCGCTGTCCTGTCAATAATATTTTCGAGTCAGCATGTTCCCCCCCCCCCCTCCCCCGTGCCAACTCTCAGCGCCATAGCCCAGACTTTGCAAAATTATCAATTTCGATTAATAACAATAAGGCTGGGTTCGTGCTAATTCCCATGTTCCGGAACTGTTCCCGCACACCTCCCGCACTGTGTGGAAGTTCCGGAACTGTGCTGCATGCGCTGAAACCGCCCCGCACGCGTTTGGAACGGCGGGAGTTGGAGAATTTTGACCTTTTTAACGGTTTTTTTTCAGATTCCTCTCATCTTGGCTTTATTCCTCTAACCCGGTTCCCTTTTTGATCAACAGAACTTCGAACTCGAAGCGGGGCTGAAGAATGAGCGCTTTTCTGCACTGCATATCCGACAAAATGTCTTTCTTGCGTTTGTTCATTCTCTCTTCGTTATTCTTGCTCAGAATCACTCCATTTGTTCAAGGAAGCTGCTGCGTAGTTTCCGCAGGCATTTACCTCGAATTAAGACATGCGAACATTCTGAAATTGCGGAAATGGGAACTTTGCTCTTGTTTTTTGATGAATTTTGTTTATGGGCATTCCCCTTTCTTTTTTCCATATCGTTGCTTCTCCGTCCTTTCTTCTACCCCGCTTCTCCTTCTGATGAGAAAAGCTGCGAACTTGAAGCGGGCTTGAGGATTGCACGCTTTTCTGCTCCAATATCCGGTAATATGGGTTTTTGTGCGCTCGTCCATTCTCTCTTCACTATTTTTGTTCAGACCTACTTCATGTGTTTCAGGGGCGTGTAATTTCGCATCTGTATTGAAAGAGACATGCAGGTCTTTGAAACACATGAAGTAGGTCTGGAAAAAAATGGAAGAGAAAATGGACAAGCGCACGAAGACCCATCTGCCCGAATACATGGAAAAGAACAAGGTTAAATTCCTCAACCCCGCTTCAAGTTTCAGCTTTTCTCATCATTAGGAGTAGAAGAGAGAACGGAGAAGCAACGATATGGAGAAAGGAGAGGGGCTGAGAATGCCCAAAAAGGAAACTCATCAGAAAACAACAGTAAAGCTCCACTTCCGTATTTTGAGAGTGTTCGCATGTTTTAATTCGAGACAGATGCCTGCGGAAACTAAGCGGCTTCCGAAAGAATATGGAATAGGTTTGTGCAATTAGAAAACGAGGCGAGAATAGACTAACGCAAGAACAGACATCTTGTCGGATATGCAGAACAGAAAAGCGCTCATTCTTCAACCTTGCTTCGAGTTCGAAGTTCTGCTGTTCAAAAACCAAAAACGGAAGTGGGTTTGAGGATTAGAGCCAAAATGAGAGGAATCTGGAAGAAAAACCGTTAAATTCCCCAACTCCCGCCGTCCAAAACGCGTGCGTGGCGGTTTCAGCGCATGCAGCACAGTTCCGGAACAGTTTTAGCACAGTGCGGGAACAGTCCGGATCATGGGAATCAGTATACTCAGCTTTATTGTTATTGATCGAAATCGATATTCGATATATCGACACACACACACACACACACACACACACACACACACACACATGTGTATATATACAGTGACCGCCAAAAAGTTGCGGACAAGCCTTCCTCCCTTTTTCATCACTCTTCTTCAGAGGGAAAACAAGGATGAAAAAATATAATAATTGCATGAGGCGATAGAGCTCTTCAAGATCTACAGTCTAAACTTTGAGCTTTTTGAGAAACATGTGTTCTAAAAATTTTAAGAATCCTTTTCTAAGAAAAGTCCGAAAATGGCCGCGTCACAATGTCGCGGACAATAATTCTTCGAACGCAAAAATTTTATTTTGAGTCCTATTTTGAAGCGGAAACACAAGTTATCTGGACGGATAAGCATACTACTATACAGAGCTCGTCAAGAACTACACACTGGTTATGGTTGCTTCCCCAAAAAACGCAAACTTGAGTTTTATTTTGCTTTTTTCAAAAAATAACTTCTAATTTCCTTTATCAAGCCAATTTTCTTCACATGGAAACTTGTTCAAGACATCCCAGCAAAACCGTGGGGATAAAATAGATGTTCTTTGCCATCCTCCATGCATAGGACGTGTGCTGATGAGTTTCTTTGCTGAAAATGGCCCTTGGCAGTGCTTGCACATGGCCCTACCTGCACCTCACCACTGACTTGACCGCTTTGCAGGCTTGTAACTCGGCCGGCAGTCATTCCACGAGCCTGCAAGTAGGCTCATTTGGAAGGGCGTGACTTCCTGGACGCGAATATTCAAAAGAGTTGGGTGTGTGAAACAGCAGAGATTTGGCGGATGGGGTGAAAAAGTGCAGCCTCAGAGGTGATTGGAGTGAAAGCTCTTATGAACACCAGAACAGTCTCAGAGCCTCGAAATGGATCTATTACAAGAAAATTGACAGTTTTGAACTTTCAGGATTAAATTGGTAGCGAAAAGAGTTCTCCTCAATTTTAGCTGAAAAGTGCTTAGACTACAATTGAAGCTGCCCTCTACCACCCCATTATACTTGGGACCGAATCGAATAACTATTCGATCATTCGAATAAATCATTCGAATGCGAATGATTCGAAAAGTCGAATATTCGAAAATTTGAGATTTCGAATAAAATTCGAAAGTCGAATATTCGTAATTTTCAGTTTTCGAATATAGTCGATAGTCGAATATTCGAAAATCTTCACTTTCGAATATTATTCGAAAGTCGAATATTCGAAAATCTTAAATTTCGAATATTATTCGATAGTCGAATATTCGAGGGTCATTCATTCGATCATTCGATGTCCATCAAAAATTCGAATATTCGTCGAGCACCGAATATTCGGAAATTCGATAAGAATTGACTATTCGAAAATTCGATAAGCACCGAGTATTCGAGAATTCGATATGCATAGCGCATACGGGATGTTTAAAAATATCTACACACCGTTTGATCGCTAATACCTCTCAGTCTTTTGCCAATTTCTGGGTAACATCCAGTAGGGATGGCTTCAGCTTATAAATAAGCAGAAAGCGAATCAACCATGTTTTTCTTATTGTGTGTTATCACAGTAGGAAACTCCAGCTTATAGACCGACTGCAAAATAGGACATCCAAAAAAAATTGTCCCCAAAAAGGTCTAAAATCTGTGCAGTAGTGTTATTACGTATGCTGATTTTGCTACGCACGAGCTTTCAAGCTTTTCAAATGGCAATCACATTTCTGAAAGGCGATGCAAAACACTTTTTACGGTGTATCGTTTGTTCCCCAGCAAATTTCTCATAGACTACCATCATGTCGCTGCCTTTCGCTATTTTGAACGTGTTAACCTCGGGCAGTTCGTTGAAATCTTAGGAGAAACGTGTCAGAAAGAGCGAAAGGCAGCGTCGCACCACGTACGCACGCTGGCGCACTTGGGAACTTTTCTGGGGGACACAGGATACCTGGCGTAAGTTTTGAAAAAAACATAACGGATGAGTGCAAACTTTACATAAAGTGAGTGTCTTTAGGAATCTAAAGCAAGACTTTCAGCACTTTTGATTCTTTTTCTTGGTGAAATGGTCCTGATGTTTTGAAACCTGCTTCAGCCTTACGGTAATTTTACAGCAGTGAAAAGCGATTGATAAATTGCCCCATACTCTAAGTTGACGTCAGCCTACACAGTCTACAGATCTACATACTGTTGGGACCGCTGTATATCCAATCGCAACTCTCAGTGAGGGTGTATGTATAATCTTCTTTGAAGTACGAAAAATCTCTTCACAACCGTCATCAGGAGTAGCTTTTAGGTTCCTAAGTCTCTTCACGTTACGACTAAACCGTTTTTCCATCGTAAATTATACCATAAGAATGTGTCCAATGCTTAGCACTTACATGAAACAATTTATTCTTAGTGTTTTGGCCTTTTATAGGCAGTCTCAATGACGTAAATTATTCGGTCAGTATTCGAAAATCGAATGATATTCGAAAATCGAATAACATTCGAGGACCGAATAATATTCGAAATTCGAATAACGAATGATATTCGATATTCGAATATTATTCGATTCGAAATTTTCATTTTCGAATAATATTCGATGGTCGAATATTCGAAATTTCCGATTTTCGAATAATATTCGAAAGTCGAATATTCGAAATTTTCAAATTTCGAATAATATTCGATAGTCGAATATTCGAGAATTTCGATTTTCGAATATTATTCGATATTCGAATATTCGAGATTTTCAATTTTCGAATATATTCGATATTCGAATATTCGAAAAAAATTTCGAATTTCCCCAAGTATACACCCCATCCGCCAAATCTCTGAAATTTCTCATACTCAACTCGTTTGCATATCATCGTATAGAGGAAGTCTCATTCTTTCGAATGCCTAATTGCAGGCTTAATTATTGACTGCAGGCCGAGTTATAAGCCTGCAAAGCGGTCAAGTCAGTGGTGAGGTACAGGTAGGGCCATGTGCAAGCACTGCCAAGGGCCATTTTCAGCAAAGAAAGTCATCAGCACATGTCCGATGCATAGAGGTTGGCAAAGAGCATCTATTTTATCTAGACGGCTTTGCTGGGATGTCTTGAACAGGTTTCCGTGTGAAGAAATTTGGATTGAAGCAGGAAATCAAAGTTATTTTTTGAAAAAAGCAAAATAAAACTCACGCTTGCGTTTTTTGGGGAAGCAACCATAACCAGTGTGTAGTTCTTGACGAGCTCTGTATTGTACTATGCTTACCCGTCCGGATAACCTGTGTTTCCGCTTCAAGATAGGACTCAAAGGAAAATTTTTGCGTTCAGAATTATTGTCCGCGACATTGTGACGCGGCCATTTTCGGACTTTTTTTAAAAAAGGATTCTCAAAATTTTTAAAACACGTGTTTCTCAAAAAGCTCAAAGTGTAGATCGTAGACCTTGAAGAGCTCTATCGCCTCATGCAATTATTACATTTTTTCATCCTTGTTTTCCCTCTGAACAAGAGCGATGAAGAAGGGAGAGGGGTTTGTCCGCAACTTTTTGGCGGTCACTGTATATATACACATGTGTGTGTATGTGTATACAGGGTATCCGTAAAGTGTATATTCACTGTTTGATCGTTAATATCTCTTTTCCCAAGGAGTCTTCTGCCTTGCTTCAGGTACCACTTTGTAGAGCTGGCTTCAACTTAAATTTACAGTATGGAGCGAATCACCCATCTCTCTTCATTACTGTAGGATTACGTTAGAAACTTGAAAGATATGGTGTCAATGTGGAAAAAGCTGCCGTTTCAAAATTTAAAAAAAAAATGTGAAAACTTGCGTAATAGGGTTTTTATAGGCGCTGAATTCAATACTCAACTGTTCACAAGACTGCGAAGCTTTCTAAACGGTGTAACCGCACTTTTTAAGAACATTGAAAAAATGGCCGCTACATTTTACCTGGCACAACTCTTCAATGAAGCATCATAATAAGTTGGGAGCTTTACATTCAGAATCAGCAACTCTAATTGGCCTAGTGTAATAGTTTTCAGGCTGTTTTGTTTTTTTTCCAAGGCAAAATATGGCCTTTCATGGCTTGAAACCCTTTTTGAAGTTTCCACCGTAATCTTACAGTAACGAAGAGAGATGGGTGATTCGCTCCATACTGCAAATCTAAGCTGAATCCAGCTCTACAAAATGGTACCTGAAGCAAGGCAAAAGACTTCTTGGGAAAAGAGATATTAACGATCAAACAGTGTATACATACTTTACGGACACCCTGTATATATACACATACACGTACACACATACACGCATGCATTCAGCTTTATATATAAGAATAGATGATAAATCAAAAGATCGCTGTCCGTTTTATGATTATCGGATATAGTACAAAATCACCTGTTGCGCCGTTATCACAGAGCCCACAGGATCACTTTGTGTTCGTGGCTGAAATTGGCCATAGGGATGGAAGTAGCGGGAGTCTTGCCTGTACGTTATAGTCGCATTGAAGTAATTACGAGGTACCTTAATGAAAGATCAAAAATTTTCACGCATTGATACGCACAAAGTTTTTGAGGGATGGAGAAAGGAGACTACCATTTCTAAGGTAATTTGGGCCAAGTAATTTTGTTTTCTAAATTTGGTTTTCTAAATTTGCATAAGATCAGTCCACTGCATAGTAAAACCCAATCAAAAGCACTCTCTCATAAAATAGTGAGTAACCATCTTCAAGAAATGCATGGCTTGATAGCTTGAGCGGATAGGGAAAAGACGTCTGTCTCTACAACTAAAATATTATGATAGCTGCAGAAAATTTCCAGAAAAAGGGAAAAACTCAAGCTGGACATGTTTGCATAAATAGCTCATTTGTAAATTTGTGACAACGGATTTGACTGCGCTCTTTGCGCCCACAGCAGCATAAAACTGTCATGCAAAAAGGGGTCACATCAAGACTCAACTCTTTCACTTCCAGTTTAAATACTGCCATATATAATCAAAAAACCACTTAAGTAGAAATGAAAAGAGAACATGCGGTTGCCGGAAGTGCGTGCTTGTCGCGCGCGGTGCGCCACCGTTACGATTTTTCGAAGGCCCTATACATCTAGGAAAAGTTTGCAGTGCACTATGGCAATGCTGTTTAGCTTTACATGATAAATTAGAAAAAAATTGATCGGTAGAGGATTGTACTGTAAGGAGCTGTTTAACATTGTTCACACATCCTGCCTGTCTCAAACATGAAATATTATTCATTCTATGACTAGTTGACGCGAGACCGCATTGCACACATTGTCTAAACAAGCTTAATCACGTATCTCTCAGGTTTATATTAGGTTGGTGCAAAAATAATGAGCGTTTTCCCATTTTTCACTTTAGCTTGCTATAACTTTCTACAAGATCTACATTGTGAAATGTGGTAATGACCATCAGATGCAGCGAACCTTTCGCACTACAGCGCACATTGAACTATACTCATATCTCATATGGGCAGAAAAATATGGATTGAAAAACAAAAGGAGTTTTTTCTGAAGCCTTGTTTTTGACAGAACATAACTCCTTTCACACTTTGTTCTTATGATTTATAAGCAGCCTATCTTGTAGCCGCAAGCCAGTAGTACAAATATACATGGAAACGGCTTGGAGAAAAAAGATTAGCGAAGAGGGAAAAATCGAAATTCAAAAATTTCAACTTTTTTAGCATTTTTTCAGTAGGCCTCAAAACCTCGAAGTAGAGAATTTTTTAATTTTCTGAGTACTGAAAAGCTGGATGTTTTTGCAAAAACCGCTAATGGGACTCCTACCCTCACGCTTACAGAGAGCAAAGTTTGAGCGACTGCACTTTACGAAAGAAAGTTATGGGCTCTAAAACCACAACCATTACCCATGTTAAGCCGCCGATATCTTACTCTAGATAACTTGAAAAAATATGGTTGAATATGCATAATGTAGACAATTTCCATTACATATAGCGGCTAAATATTCGATAAACCATCTTCATTCGCGCTCAAATTCTGGCCAGAAAAATGAATGCAACGAAGATTTAATTTTGAGTGCAATTATGTGAAGCTCTATAAATTTTTAACAGAGTAAGCTAGAAGTTCTTTTCGAACATCGTCAAATAAAGCATGAAAAGAGCTTTCTAACTATGTGCTGAAACAATTAAAAAGAAAGACGTTTGATGGAGAAAAGTTGTCCTGAAAAAAGTCCAGGAAAACGCTCATTATTTCTGCACCAACCTAATACTTGTCATTTATCTCGTACAGGTTTATATGCTCTTTGGAAACAGGGAAGAACAAATTTAAACATGTTAAGACAATGTCCGCAATGCGGTCACGCGCCTCCTAGTCATAGAATAGATGATACTCTCTTTGGCTTCTGATTTTTCGCATCACATATCCGAGTTTTCTGAGTAGTAAGTGATGGGTAAAGAGATTTCTTTTGTCCTCAGATTACAGCGGTATTTTTTACAAATTTTTGTTAACAGGCGCAAATGTTGCTAAATAGCCACATACTCGATATATCTGGGAACCAGTGTGATAAGGAGATTCCAACAAAAAAAGGATGTTGAGATGCTTTGAGCTCTGCCTTGGAAGGTCATCAAGGTCCATATCGCGACCGTGTAGAATGTAAGCGGCTGCGTTTCTTTTACTGAAAAATTTTATATTTGAGTATAGAGAATATAGATAAACAAGTGATGTAGTACGTGATCAAGTGCTCCTTTCTATCGACGAATTCGCATCGGGAATCACAATTGGCCAGTGTAGGGAGGAGTACATTTTTCAAAGGTTTCGAAAAGTAGTCTGTCCAGGCGACAATCAGAGGTATGTTCTAAATGGACGTTGAATGACCCGAAAGGGAAAAGAGGCACATTTCGAAAATGAAATCATTGTTTTGTATAATATAAAGGACAGTGTGGCTCAAAAGACGGGTAAGCAAGCATATGCTTGAAGGCAGCGCATTTTCGTGTTTTCTGTTTTCATTTTTGAACCTTCGCGATTTAAAATGTCTAAATTTCAAGTGACAAAGGGTCACTCTTGTTGCTTCAAAACTTGGAAAACGTCAATCGGGCATGTTGCCACCACACTTGACTGTAAAGGGCCCTCAGCTGCCAAAGTCAATCAGTCATTTCCTTTTGGTGATCATGCACCCGGAAGGGAGTGGTGCAGGAGGAACCAAGGGGCTGCCTCCCGTATCTGCGGTAGATAATTGAGAGCGCGAGCGCTATGGAATATTTTGGCAAGAATCCATGAAAACCTGGCAAGGACATCCTCTAGAAATCCTTCATAACTTTGCCTGGAGACGACTTCGAAAAATTTGAAAAACAGATTTGTAATGCAGATTGGAAGCTGCATTCATTGAGTTAAGAGTAAGTTAAAATCAGTTGTATTGGTAAGAAAAGCTAACTTCCTTATGGGAACTGTTTTGAGAATTTTGAAGTTTCAAATTTTGTAAATGGACCTTTCATTCAAAATCCATTCTTTTCTTCGACAAAGGAATGGTTTACCTTTGAGTCAATGAATCAAAACAATCAAAATGTCACAGAACACATCTGGAGGCTTGCATCAAGATGCAATATGCAGTTTGTCTCATTTCAAACCTATTTTAGTTTGAATTTTGACATTGATTTCATAAGATTTGCCATTGAAACTATGTCGGTAATCTTTTCGAAGCTGTACACAGTAGCAAAAGTTCATCGCATGTAACATAGTTAACATAATTTTTTTACATAACTTTTCAACCTTGTTATTATGATCCATACGCAGAAGATTTAGCGATGTGAAAATGAGAGCAAATCCTTTGTACATATTTCGCGTGTGTATTGTGCATTATTTCTATCTTAGCGATTCTACTATCTAGCACATTACACTGTAGTAATGTATCAAATAAATAAATAAATAAATAAATTCCTAATCACCACTCCCTACTTTTGACTTCAAATCTAGAAATTTCACTGAAATCACTTACAAGGGGAAAATACTTGGTCGAAGTGGTGTTTCCATATGAGATGTATACTCTCTTACGGAGCATGGAACGCTGATTCCAAAAGTGCCTTCGGCATCTGCAAAGCGCTTCTGGAAGGGGAGTTCTGGAAATTTTTTGAGGTAAAAATCCAATTATCTGGCTGAGATAAAAATAAGCGTTGAGCTCTTTCCGGCGTTTGAAAGGAGAAATGACTGACATTAGTTTATTAGATTGAAGGTCTTTATTCCATAGAATGCCCTGGTAGTAATCATGGCCCCACTTGAGTTCACAGACTAAAGTTCTGATTGATTTTATTGCAGCGACGCTTCCAATTTTAACATCAAATAATTTCCCCCCTCCCAGAAGCGCTTTGCAAATATCGAAAGAATGTTTGGTGTCAGCATTCCATGCTCTATAAGATAGCGTACATTTCATATGGAAACGCCACTTCGACCAAGTATCCACCCTTTGTTAGACCTTTTTCACAACATTCGACTTGAAATTCCTCAGTTTTTAATGGTAAATTTTGAAGGCTCAGTTTTTGGTAAAAATAAAACTCAGTAGCTAGACAGATTTGTTTATCTATCCGGTAGGCGTATCACTGAAAAAAGTGCATTTCAATACTGATTCTGAAGCTGTCCTTGTTTCTGAAAATTAATCCCAGTGTTATAAGTATTTGTTTCTCATGGTTGGCCTTGCCAAGTTTTCCTGGATCCTCGTCAAAATCTTCCCCACGGCGCTTGCGCTCCTAATTGTCTCCTACGGTTAGAGGCGGCATGCTTTTGGTTTCTTCTGCACAGCATCCCAAACGGAAACATTTATGAGGCTGGAAACTAAGTGCAATTGCTTTCATAACATCACTCTTTTCCAACGTGGCGCAATCAAACTTTGGCTATATGTAGATCTCAATTGTGGTACAATCACGCACAAACTGTTTGACTTTTGAAAACGAAATAAAAAAAATTGCAAGCATTTATCCAAAACTAATAAATTTCGAGGATTTATGAGGTAATCAGCAGGAATTAAGCCGTTCGCAACCCAAATTATGCATAATGACCCGAAATTATTATACATGTGGTTTATTGCTTGTGACGGACTCATTTGGCCCAGTAGGAAGGGAATAGAGTTGCAAGATAACTCGAGATCTGGCTCCTTCACGAAGTTAAAGTACGCAAGGCCGAGGACAACTATCAATAACTAAAGAGTGGAAACGTCAGAATCCGCGGAGACATCAAATGGTGGGGTTATGCGACCTGCCGAACACGAACATCATACTCGTCTGTTGAATTAACGCCTTTTCTGTCGTTGAGGGTAAGACCTCATACCGTAAAGCTACAGTAATCTCACAGAAAGCTCTTGCCGTGCAAGTTCATTATGTTATTCGTGATCAGCATGTCGGATACCCTTCCCCCCCTCCATGCCAGGTTTCACTCAAATTCGTAATGATTCATAATTTTCCCTCTCATACAGCATACCCACCGTAATCCTCACTACGACGTCAGAATTTGGCGGAACGGCTGCTGCACTTGTAGCTTACGTCATAATCTATCTATTGGCGAAATTTGAGTGTTTCATATTAAACGAGAGCAAGATTAATTAGTAAGCTGCAAAACTTAGTTTCTAACCTAATACTTGGCTGCCACCTTTCTGACAAATTTCACATTCAGCAAAAGCGGTGTAAGCTATTCTAGATACAGCACGATTTAATGGACATCTTTTACACGCAGATGAACTTTCGCCCTGCGTCACAAAGCTCTTCCATAATCTGAAACTAGATAAAGAATGGCATTTTGGTGGTTTAACGCACGCGCTGAAAGCATTTTACTCCGCAGTGTAAAAGGCAATTGAACAAATGCAAGCTTTTACAATGACTTGCGGGGGTCTGCCAATTACAAATGTTTTTGTATTTCCAAATTCCCTCAAGACCAACATCAATTGTCAAAGGTAGAGGGCCTGGTTGGCCCCGGGGTCAAAGCTGCGTCCGACATGTCGCAGCACTGCCTTATAACACTGTGCCACTCGCTCGCTCTATAGTTTGCAAGGACGAAGAGTTAAGTTTGTCAAGAGTCCTGAATCAAGTCTTCTGTTTCGTGAATTTATCCTACTTACAGCGAGATGTGCAAGCTACCATTTGATGTTTTCCAGGGTGTATCTGAGCTTCTTACCGTTAACGTGAAATAATGTAGATTTTCTCAGGTTCACATTTGCAGCTTTGGACTTTATAGAGGCATCTTTTTAATGCAACATATTTGGATATCTTGAGAGGTATGTGGAATATGTACTAAGGTATCAACTTTTCAAGGCCAGAATCAATGCGCCAATCTTAGAAAGCCGTCCGTTACTGTATTGCAGACACACTGACAACTGTTCAGGATCTGCTCATTTCAAGTGGGAGCAGTTTTTTACCGAAGTTTTACCGAAGCATTGGGTGTGCACATAAGGAACTGACACCACTGAACCCGTTATGAAAATACATTGTATACTCCGGTCGGCTCATATCTCACATTTGAAGAAGGTTGTCATCGAAAATATGTTTCGCACAGCGCCCGCGTTTGTAGAGGACAACAGGAGAGGGTGGTGCTTGCGCTTGCTCTCAAAATAATAACTTCTAATAGCCATGCTAGGAGAGGCGTAGAAAACACTTTCTCAAGTACATAGACCTGACATATCTTCAAATGGAGTCGGCATTGCGTTGAGACAGTGTCCGAGTAAATGAGGGTTAGGAAACTTTGGGTATTTTTCCGCTATCCGGACCCAATTCTTCGAAGAATTCTTACGAAACACCTACTATAGTCTGAATTTTTCATAAATTATGTGAGTACTACCCAACAGTTAGAAAAAGTTCACAGTTTGATGCAGTTTTATATGTTTTTCGAAAAATCACATTGGGTATGAGAGCATTTGGGGTGAAATCAAAAGCTGTTCAGCTTTCCACAAAGGACCAAACAAGCGAAACTTTCTAAAGAATATTTTCATGTTTTTTAGCAATAATCCAAAAAGATCTTCCTCTTCGGACTATCTCCCTTGTGTGAATTCAGCCAGGAAAGAATCCACACGATAGCGTCGAGCACCTCGGCTCGCTTGTTGTTTCTCCACTCCCTGTTCTGGGCATATGTAATATGTTTATTAGGAACGGGATAACGTATTTTAATGATAATGTTTATTTAGTGACCATTAAATCAATCATGGGGTAAACATTCAACAAAAGAAAAGGATGAATTCGCTTTGGTAGGTAAGCGACTCAAAACCCTTGTAGTTTCAAACAGGCCCGTTAATTTTTTTGGCACAGGTTGACGCTTCTTTCTGTAAAGTTCGTACTAAACATGATGCAAGGAATAAGGCAATATCTTTTTTTGGAAAAACGGCTCCGGATAACGGAAAAGTATCAAATTTCTTGCAATGGTCGAGATTCGTTAAGGAATTCAAAAAGTATTTAGGTTTGCCGTTTAACACAAGCGCCTGCACGACGCTCAATTCCCATCAAAGGACATGCAGGCGGTAAGCCTAGATTACGCAAGGCCATCCCTAAAAACGCTCACAGGCTTTGAAGCACGCCCATGCAAACTTTACAGCCTCATAAAATAGCTCTGAATCCCACACGGCACCCCGCAGATGCTCAAAAGCCTCTTGGATTCACACAGGAAATCCACAGTGACTTGCTAGGGGGTGCTTGCAATCACTCGTAACTCGCTTCTCACGTGAGTCATCTCTTTTGACTCAGTGGAGTGTAACGTGGCATATACAATCAGCTACCAGCTCTCATTTGAAGTACATGTATGTTATCGTTTCGATAAGGTAAGCGTTTCGACAGTTTACTCAGTGATCAGGCAATCTTAGAACTTTGCTTGTAGAGCTGCACAGACATTTGACCGGATAGGTCATATCGTCCACTTCAGCTTCCGAAGAAGGCGATGAGACGTTAACTATTGTTTTAACTTTCTGGTATGTTACGAGCACAAGTACAACATACACGTCTGTCGTATCACTTACCTAATCTACAAATTTTAATATTGTAAATTTATCATGTATGTTATATTATTATGTACTAGCTTGTCGTTGACAAACGTTACTGTTCACTGACCACTCAAGTCGCCGGGTCACCTCTTCGCTGTGCTTGATAGTGTATTTAGTGGCGCCTTTTTTCACATGGGCATTCCTTCATGCTGTATGATACCGTTCTTTACCAGAAGTGGGTATTCAAATTATTATGCTCAAATCAGTGGCATAAAAAAGCGTGAATGCTCGATTCTGGTGTTGGTTTGAATTTCACCAGCGGTTGCGGTTGCGGTTGCGTCAGCGGTTGCGCATATTCACTGTTGATATCAGCTGCTGCTTAGCTACTATCTAATGCGGTCATATAATGTACCAGCTTGGTTCATCCAAAACGTCTGAAATCCAGAAAATTGGCGAATCAATCTTTACCTATTTAATCTTTTACAGTAATCTTACCTCTTGTGTCGCGTCATATGTCTTGTTCGGCTCATAAGGAGTCATAACATAGTTGTTGCGTACTACCGAAATCGAGTCCTACAAGGCCAATGCAAATAGCAGTGTATAAATGAAATGGATTCTGCTATACTTACTTGGTATACATTTTTCATGTAATGCGCTTGTAGGTCGAGAAAACAGAACGACGAAAGGACCACCAGAAGCAACAGAGCAATTTTCAGAAGAAAACTGTATCGCGCACCTGTAATGGTAGAGTGTGAGAACTGCACACTTTCCTGCCTCACTTACTCTTTATTCCAGCTTTTAATCTATCATCATAACTTATAATAACGAGCTATGGGTGTTTATGCATGTGTGCGTGCGTGCGTGCGTGCGTGCGTGCGTGCGTGCGTGTGTGTGTGTGTGTGTGTGTGTGTGTGTGTGTGTGTGTGTGTGTGTGTGTGTGTGTGTGTGTGTGTGTGTGTGTGTGTGTGTGTGTGTGTGTTCCGAATAGAAAATTTTATATCTGAACCGATCCGAGCCAAACATGGCAGATATGCACATCGGGCGGGTCGGGTGTCGTGAGTTACTTACTGTTATTGATCGATATCAATGTTTTTTTTTCAAAGTTTGACCAGTGGGAGTTGGCACGGGGGGGGGGGGAGGGGTAAGTGAAAATGCTGATTACGAATATGCTATTGACAGGGCAGGGATCAGAGGTGCGATAGTGGGAGCCGATTCTCCCCCTACCTTCACTTTTGAGCTGGTACAAGGTGATCACCTTCACTTTTGGAATAAAAAAATTTTTGCTGGACGATAAAGAAGGAAAATAAGCAAAACAAACGCAAAAAAGATTATTGAAAGCATATATTTATGTATACGGTGGCATATATATTTAAAATATATAAAGCTGAATGTCTGTTTGTCTGTCTGTCTGTCTGTATGTCTGTATGTGTGTACGTATGTTCCGAATAGAAAATTCCATTCCAATTCCAAAATCGATAAAATCGACATCGATCGATAACGAAAAGTGGACTGTGACACCCGCCGGGATCCGAAGTGTATGTGTGCCAAGTTTGGTCCGGATCGGTTAAGAAATGGAATTTTCTACTCGGAACATACGGCGGAGCCGGGTAAGCCAGCTAGTTTAAAATAAACGTGTTCGGTAAATGGTGTATTTGGAAGTTAAACTTAGCGAAACTGTACGAATTTTATTGAGCAAATTTTGTTATAACGTACAGCGCCGTACTCCCCCCACGGGCATAATTCGTAGGAGGCCCCCACATATTATATATCATCTGAAAGCTCTTGATGAGAAGAATCTGACCTATGAAGTCGCAACATGATCCATGCAGTTTTGGAGAAGTTATGAGCTGTTGAATTTCAAAAAGCGCTTATTTACCTGCTTTTTCAAGACTCTAGATCTCGGCACTGTTTCAATGAATCAGTACTAAGATTTATTCTGATAAGGCAAACCTTACTCTACCAAACCTATGAAGTCGCAACATCACACACTTTCACTTTCATGATTTAGATGAGTTTAACTGTCAACTGTCAAAAAACACGCAAAAATGGCGTAAATTTTTAGAATTCTGGTTTTCAACGACTATCTCTCAAATCGACTCGTTTTCTTTACCATCTCATAGAGCACCATTTACTTTTCAAAACCTATGAAGTCGCAACTGCTGACATCTTCAAACAACAGATTTATAACAGTGGAAATTTCGCATGATTTTTCACTATTTAAATATTCAAAATTCTGGTTCTCAGCCGTAACTGGATCGACCTACTTCTTTCGCAGTATGTTATGACAGAATTTACTTAATAAAATCCGTACAGTCCAACAAACATTTACTTCCAAATACACTATTTGATAAGCACGTTTACTTTAGATATTTATGACGCTGTATACATAAGAATATGCTTGCAGTGATCCCTTTTGCATTTGTTTTGCTTATTTTCCGCGCACTGGCGGCAACGACCGGATAGACGTTAGTGCCCCCCCCCCCCGGTCGACGTTTTTGGGAGGTGAGTGTTCTGCACTACCACCTTCACTTTTGGCCGGCCAGTGGTAGCTGGGACCACCTTCACTTTTGGTGGGCCCGGCTCCCCCCATCGCACCTCTGGCAAAAATGAGGGTTTGCCAGCTAATAAATCATATGGTTCGCGCAGTTTTAATGCTTCAGTATTCTAATCTATACTACAACTCACCGCTTCTCAAAAAGCCCGACAACAAGGTCAAGTGAGGCTAGGCGCGTCCTACTTTGAAAGTCGTATTTGAGTAAGAATATGGGAAGGGAATTACCTCTACGATAGAACCAAGCAAGGAGGGATAACCTTGCATTATTGCCAAAATTCGGGGCCTGGTGTTAGCCACACCCCGAAAATTTTCTTTGAAAGGCTAAAACGAATTTTCAAAAAATTCAAAAAATTATTTTGATTAATTACAGGTGTAAACTAGGTATCTGCAGTTTCTGTAAGTTATGTAAGCAACCGCCGCAAATCCTGTTGATCCAAAGGGTTTAAAGTCAATTTTTATGGAAATCTGCACTGTGGCTGTTTTTTTATAGAATCCTTTGCGCGCAAACCGATCGAGCAGAAACTTTGCATACTTATGCGTTCGACCCCGGAGAAAGATCCAAGCTCTTTTTGAGCTGATTTGCTGGGCCATTCTATCAATTTTCTATCGATTGTTTATATGGGTCTAAATGGCTTACCATATTCTAATGATGAGGTGTAAACCTCATTTCATTTCTGAGGTCGACAGGAGGTGCTCACCGAGGGCGTATACAGGAAGTTCAAGTGTTAGCTGTTTAGAGTATGAATGCTGGGTAGAAAGGGGAGAGGGGAGAGCACGCGTCAGGATCCTTTTTATAATCTTTAAAAGCTCTCCGGAGCCGCACTGGAACGGTGCCAGCGTAGGAGGGCGGGTGGCATGTAGCGGTAATTACATAATTCGGAGGAGTGTTGCGCCAGGAGTGTTTACTGGGGCTAGCTCTTGAACTGCGTCGATGACGCGGCGAGGCAACGCTCCGCAGAATTTTGCGCAGACTATGGGTCGTCAGTCTTTCCCAACCTGAGATAACTCATTCTCCAGCAAGATCAAAGCTAACGTCTACAAGTTGTTGCATTGGGGTAGGTGTGCATGTTGATTGACACACAATATTCACTGAAGTTGCTGAAGACGAATAACACGAACACGAATGCGCATAGTTATATCAACAATTGTTGTCAAAACAATCGTTTTAGTTAATCAAGAGTACTGGGCGAAGCCGGGTATGCCAACTAAACTACACTTTTTGAATTTTTGGCGAAGCCAATAAGTATCGAACGCTCGATATTGCTTGACTTCCTCGAATATTCTCCTTCCACACTCAATTATTTGATCTAGACTCCAGAACCAAGCCAATTAACATCGCGAGATAAGAGGCAAAATTTGATCAGTATGGAAACTTAGAGTAGAACAAAATTGAGTAGAAGGCGTGGGCTGGGGTCGGCGCAGCTGGAACAGGGTCAAGCTGCATATCGTTTTTGGGGGAAAGCAAAAGAATTATCGCTTTTGTAAAGCCCGGCCAGAACCTTGGAAAAATTGCAAAGGTATGTATCGACCTTTCAGTGAGCATGCTGGCTGCATGCTCAATCTAAGTGACCGCCGGCATTCCAACGCTATATGTGAGACTAGCAAAATATTAGGTGGTTTCATAAGTTCGTAGAGTTTTGATAAATCAACGAAATGACAAAATTTTAGCAAAATTTAGTCAATATTGTTTGTTTCATTGTTGCGCACAACCTCTGCACGTTGCCATAGAATTCCATTTTTCGTTTTTCTAGAACTCAGTGGGTCTGGTCCCGAAAAAGGCGTCTAACCAGCGCCTGAGATCGTCTTTAGAATCAAAACAGATGCCGTTTATGTGATTTGTAATAGACTGGAACTGATGATAATAGCTAGAGCGAGATTTTAGGAATACATTGGATACTAATGTACCACCCGGTTCAAGTCCTGCAGGACAGCTATAACGGCGATTGTCGTAGGGAGCCAAATTTTGTCGCGCAAAAACGCTCACTGGACACGTTTATTAGGCCTTCTCTGCAATGAGAATTCGTTTAAAGGCAGCGTCCGGGCAAAATTTCACCTCCGATGTTTCTGCCATTCTGGCACCTTTCCGTGGCCCTGATTACAGTTGTAAAGTCCAAATTGTTCAAAACTCCCAAAAAACCCGGTTCTTGAGGACCCTCTCTTCAAGGAGCGGACGAGTTTCGAATCGCTTCGGTACCATCGTCATGCCAGCGGGAGGAGCTGCAACTGCACGGATGCAGTTGCATTGCAGTGTGCAGGGCAACTGCAATGCAACTGCAATGCAACCGCACACCTGCGTAAGCACACGTCCTTAGAGGTGGTTTGTGATACGAAAGGGCGGCTTGTGATACGTATCACAGGCCCGTATCTCCTTTTAGAGGCCACGTCAGAGAATCGGACCAACGCAGATCGGGTACTCATGGGCCCCTCTTTACAACTATGTGCTCATCTGGGTAGATGGATCTTGCCCGGACGCTGCCTTTAACCTGTGTAGTCGGTTTGCGTACGCGTATAGGCGACCGTCTTATTCTTGCATAGCAATTTTCAGTGCAGAAGCTCCTGCACAACCTGCAAAAAGTCTTGTACAGGAGAAAACCTGCAAACTCTTTGTTTTTTTCGAAGCAATCCAATCCTTAATCCTTCTTTGTCTAACATTGAAGAGAAAACGCTATCATCCAGAAAGCAAGGAAATCTGCGCAAAATGCATTTTTCTATTAGAAAAATGAGCAAATGTCGAAGATGCGTTTTTTGCCCTTTGAGAAATCCTTGTTTGGAAGCTGAAGAATCAAGCAGAATAGCTTTTTATTGAAAGTAACTGGTAGTTTGTTTTGAAGGGCATGATCGGCTTATCTTAATGATATACGCAGCCTGTCGCAAATTAACCGTTGCCCAAAGAAATGAGAACGAGAGTGGAACTCTAGGCACTTATAAAACGACCTAATAGATAGAGGATATTTCTAACTCCAGCGAAAAAATAAGCCCCTGAATCGAATTTGTCCCAGAATAGTCGTCATTTTACTTCAGACCTTAACACATTATATATGTCAAGCGGTCCCACGTGGTAGTCATTGCTTGACAAACCATATGTGTCAAGCTGTCGTTAATGTGTTGAAATTGCGTCAAACAAACAGCTTGTTTGAAATCAAATCGCAATGAGACGGAACCTTTTTTTGGAATTAGCTGGA